CTCCTCCTGAGAGTCAGTCGCAAGGGTTGGTGACTCGGTGAGAGAGCCAGTACTATAGAGGGTTATGGTTCATCCTTGGTCTTTCTACTCTTTTGTTATGCCCTACCAGGTGTGGTGGGAAGAGAAACAATAGATAGGTCAATTCAGTGATCGTTTCTCGCATTCTTGATAATTGTGGTTAGATCTGCCCTTTGCCTTCGGTATGATAACAAGAAGAGATTGGTCATACCAGCAATCAAGCAGCCAAATAAGTCTCTTTTTAGACAAAGGTCGGTGCCTGGATATATATGAATACAACTTGTGCACTGTGGTAGAGTGTAATTCTATCATGCGTAAATTTTGTTTTCATAAAGTCTCATAGTGTTATACAGTAATGTTTAATGATGACGTTCCTCAGCTTTTTTCTAAATTACTTATCTTCTCTGGGTCAACCATTCTTACTTTAGCTAAATTCTTATGTTCTGACAATCTGACTACCCCTGACCTACTAGTTTGACCTATGTAGTTGACCTCACAGTTATTGCAGGGTATTTGGTAAATTATATTATTTCATCAATGGGCAGTTTCGTTTTATTTGAGGAATTCAGTTGTGCCTCACATATACTATCTATAAATTCCAAGGTGAAATATATAGACAAACTGAAGGTGTAGCAATGGGATCACTAATATCCCCTATCGTAGCAGATATATTTATGGATAGCTGGGAAAATATGGCTCTTAATACGTTTAATCCTACTACAAAAATATGGTAGAGATATGTGGATGACACTTTCACACGCGGTGTTAAAAACAGAACATATCTCTCTCTAGCTTCTTGACACACATAAACTCACTAGTGGAGGGAATAAAATTCACATTTGAAGCCGAAAATGAGCAAGCAGAATTAGCTATGTTAGATTGTAAAATAAAATGAATAGTAGAAGGCAAACTACACACTAGTGTTTATAGAAAACCAACGCATTCTAATAGATATTTAGACTTTATTTCATCTCATCCTTTAACTGTTAAGGCAGGCTTAGTTAAGCGTTTAACAAACCGAACAATGGCACTAAGTAGCACAAAAAAGACTTAAATGATGAGATAAAACTGATAGAAGAGGCGTGGGTGTTAAATAACTATCCTTCAAAATTCATTAGGAAGATTGACAAAGGCCAAAAGAAAAAGAAAAATAATTGTGTAACTAGTAATAATAACACAAATAAGAGAGAATATAAGTCATCTTCAGTTATATTTAACGTAGAATAACAGATTAGCAGTTATGGGGTGTCAAAATAAATAGTCGTATTTGTGTGACAAACGTGCTAGGCTGAATTCGTTTACAAAATATTGTAAAACGGGAGACAATGGTGATTAATCATCATAGATTTGTAGACTGTGGGGTAGGAAAATTGACAAGTCAATTCAAGGTTATAAAAGGTGTCAGGTGAGTGTCTAGTACAAAGTGGTCTGTGTTAAACAGGAGATAGTAAGACTGCAATGAGAGGTTCATAATGAAATAACGAATATGTGAAATGAAATAGGTGGAGGCATATATTGAGAAAAGAGATAATATCACTATTATTTCTCAAATGTAAAAATTCTACCATACCATATTTAGCACAGGTTTCTATGAAGACTCGGATGACAGAAAAGAAATGACAAACTTTTTAAATCAATAACTGAACTGCAAAAGTATGAGCAAAGATTATCAGTATTATTTCATGTATTATCTGTGATACTCCCTGCGTATACTTCATTGTGTTTCCACCAACATTCTGTTTATAGTAGTTTCATTATTAATATTATTATTATTTTAAATTTTATGTGTGTAAGTATTTGTAAAAGGAGCTAAATTGTTGCAATCAATGTAAAAACGCTGAAAATTCTATTATGTATAATTATTATTGCTTTGAATAAAGTGATTATCATTATTCCTGCATCAAATGCCATTACATAGAGTAAACTAAAGCGTCAGATTTTTTCATTATAAGCCATTGCAGGACAGATGACTCACAGCCTGGTACAAAGTTGCTTGGTGGAAGTCAAGAAGATTTACTCGAATGATGCAAAAATTAGAAGGTTAGGTTGTCTGACAAATATTTCGAGAGAGAGAGAATGAGCACCCAATTAATTCCACATAGAGCAGTAATATGCTTAGAAGAGCACTAAACTCAAAGGACAGTCAGGGCAGGCTACAATTCTAGGAAAGAATAATGTGACGAATATTATCACAAGGAGGTTCAATCCTGTTTGAAGTATACACATTCTGCAGTTGCATTAGGAACAACTTGCACATCTCTGTTTTTCTTAATTGTTGTGTTTGAAGGATATAATGTGTAATGCGTTTGTACCAATGTGTATTTGTGAATTAAAGTGTTCCTGTAAAGTCTGTGGAAAAGCAATTGACTAGTAATAGTAAAAATACGACAAACAAATAAAGGTCATCTCACTTAAAAGAGCTTATCTCATGCAAAAGACTAAAACCACCAAAACAGCAGTCGATTAAAATTCATTACAAGGAAAGATAAATTTGAACAAAGAGAGAAGAAACATTGGCGCAGAATAATCTGGATCCATTTTATTTCGTTGGTTCTCATCAGCTGCGTACAACCGGAATTTTTCTAAATTAAAATCAAATGTGTACAATTTTAACAAACCTTTGTCCATTAGCAAGCATAGTGTCAGAACGTCATAGTAAAATAAGGCATTAAGATTTACAGGGTGTCTAAATTGTCACGACACATATACATATATTTTGGTAGAGAGAAGTTTCTTGAAAAAATTAGTTAACAGTTGTGTTGTTAAGGGGGTAACAAAAGACAATTAGCGATAGTTACGTAATTAGATAAGAGAAGATCAAAATTTTAAAATTACGGTGCACATGAGGTCAGATGAGAAGTTGATGATGTAATACAGTGAGTAGAACTAAGAAGATCAAGAAAAATTATCTCTTTAGAGAGTCAAGCGAAACATGAAGGGGGTTGAGTGAAAAGATAAGTTAACAAAATTAGGAAACAAAGAGTTACTAAGAAGTGAGTTACCAGGGTAACTAAAGTCCAACAACGGATTCTCTTTGGACACATAAGTCAGGCTTCAATCGTTTTATTGCTATAGCTTCAGCAAACCTGAGAAGATTTGAGGTACTTTTTCTGTTAATTATTTTGAATGATCCAAGTACATCTACTCGGTGTCCTGTGTAAATCAGATGTTTACCGATTGAAGAGCTTAAATAATTCGATCCCTTCAACCGGAGGCTCCTTGGTGCAAATTCGCAGAATCTGACGAAGGCCCTCCTCTCTGTTCTTCCAATGTAACTGCTCCGGCAGATACATGTGAATTGGTGTACACAGTTGGAGGTAAAATGTGAGGGGTACTTGTCAATCTTTGACTGCACCAGTGAAGAGGATATTCGGGATAGAGAGACTAATAACACTGCAGGATACGTCCTAGACAGGGCTGCGCTTAATCTTTTATTTATCATTCTCATAATATTGTCGTCCTTGTAAACGAGTTTGATGAAAATAGGCTTCTTACTAACTGTAGCGGTAACAAGCTTCTTGAGTTCATTCTTGCCATATTTGTTAATGAAACCTTGTGGGTAACCATTTTCCTTCAAGCATTTTTCAAGAAACATTAGTTCACTGTCTAGTTTGTTTGGTGAACATATTTTCTTCGCTTTAGAGAAAAGCGTTTTCACCAGCGTTCGTTTGTATCTCACCGGGCAGAAGCTGTTGAAATTCAAGTAAAGACCACTCCATATGTCTTTACGGCATACAGATCTTTCCAGTGTCCCGTCGTATTGTCTCTCCAACTTTACGTCCAAAAAATGGAATTTTTCATCATCTTCATGCTCCATCGTGAAAGTGATGCTTTTGTGTACATTGTTGAAAGAGCCTAATAGAGACGAAGCGTGACTCAAATCGTTACATACAATGAATGTGTCATCAACATATCTTTAGTAGGCTGTTTTTTCGCCAATTGCACACTTGAGCTTTGTCTGTTCAAGACTGGTCATAAAGATATCAGCTAATATCGGGCCCAGTGGACTCCCCATTGCCACCGCATCAACCTGGCGATACATTTCGTTGTCAAACTTGAATTGTATATCATTAGTACATAACACGAGAAGCTGCCTAAATTCCAGTTTTGGTAGAGGAAGAAGATCAGAATGTTGACAGATGATGTCTATTGTCTCATGCAGAGGGATCTGGGTGAATAGAGAAGTCACATCGAAGGAAACCATGATTTTGTCATGTACATTGAGTTGATTCACCTCTTCAACGAATTGGAACGAGTCTTTTAACGCATGTTTAGCTAGACGTTGTTTGAAAGGTTCTTCTATTATCTAACTACGTAACTATCGCTAATTGTCTTTTGTTACCATCCTAACAACACAACTGTTAACTAATTTTTTCAAGAAACTTCTCTCTACCAAGATATATAGATATGTCGTGACATTTTAGACACCCTGTAAATCTCAATGCTATATTTTACTATGACGCTGTGACACTATGCTTGCTAATGGACAAAGGTTTGTTAAAATTGTACACATTTGATTTTAATTTAGAAAAATTCCGGTTGTACGCAGCTGATGAGAACCAACGAAATAAAATGGATCCAGATTATTCTGCGCCAATGTTTCTTCTCTATTTGTTCAAATTTATAAAAGGGAATCATTGTGTGAAAGATAAATTATTTCAGATGGTTGGAGGCAATCGGCAATCACTAGTTACTGACTAGTGTGCAATCGAAAATAAATTTTTTTTCCCTTCACCCTTTTTCATATTTCTGTTAATTATAATTACAATCTGTTTTCTGAGGAATTTTGTTAATATATATTTTACTGCATATAATGTTGTGTAAACGCGACTGTACAGAAGTCAACAAAGTATTAAGAAAACATTTGAGATATAACTGAATCATCTATTCTGGAAAATTGATTAATTTTTTGCTGTATTCATTCTTCATACGTGTTTAGCCAATATCTTTTTCTCAAACATATTTAAAATTGCACCTATTTTATGTATCTACCAAGAATTAATCTTGTTTTGATTGAATATTTTCTTGAATGTCCTTTAAAAAATAAGCACAGTTCAAAGTTTTTTTTAATTCCAATTTGGAGTAAGTGGGTAAACATTCTTTTAAAGTGATTCAATCATTTTAGAGAAGGAAACAAGTTATCAAGTGAATAAAGTCGATTTGAATCATCAACAAAATCAGATAGAATTTGAGAATTCAAACAAAGCAACAACGACACACATTCAATAGTTTTCGTGAGTCTGAATTGATGTATACTATGCGAAAGAATATATTTCACATATATTATTCGTAGTAATAATCACTATTATATATACAAACATGTTCATGAAAGCGTTAGCTTTTATATTTTATGCAGTAGTCATCTTGTGTTAATATTATGGAGAGTATAAATACGAATTATCAAATGCTTGGCTAGTGAGTAGCTGAGGATGATGATCTTCATCGTTAGAGTATAAGTAATCACTTTCTGTGAAATATGTCAGCATTATTATTATTCCCTTGAAATTCGAGTGAAATGTAGGGCTTCAGCAGCAGATCTCCAGTTCACCCTGTTCTCTATAGTCCCCAAGCTGTCTTCACCTCCTTATACTTTCTCCTCCATGTCACCCTCAGACCGATACCCAACTCGTCGTTTCCCATCAGGGTTAGACTAAAAAGATGACCTGGTGCGCAACATCACTTATTGGTCTGCTCAGCGTGTCCAGTCCATCTCCATTTTCTTCTGCATATTTGTTGAGTAATAGGTGCTTGATTGGTTGGTCTCTCGGGTTTCTTTTTGCTAATTCTTTCCGTCCATTTTATCCTCAATAAGGAATTACCGAAGAACACTGTTGATAAAAGCCTGCACCCTGTTAGAAATGCTTTTCGTGACACTTGTGCCAAGTTTTGGCCCACATAGGAGAACTGACCTGACTTTGGTGTGGAAAATCTGAATTTTATTGATTATGCTGCGGGGTAAAGAGGATTTCTGAACTGATCCTCGAGTGATGAAGGTCTACTTCGCCTCTCCAATTCTCGTTTTGACATCTTCATCATGTAGTTGAAACGATGCTCCTTAGATAAGTGAAAGAAGTTATCCTTTCCAATTTTTTTTTCACTGATAGCGATTAATGCTCGTTCTGGTTGGTCGGTTATCTTTATCATAAATTTATGTGTTATCTGTGTTATGCAAGATACTTGTTAAATGTTTGCGCACTTTGCTACACTGATCGATAGGAATCATGCATTTCGCGACCAACCTAATAGATTGTTGAGATATGCCAGTAGCGTAAGCATGTTCCTATCATCCTTCATGTCTATCCGATTTTCTGGTCATTTGCGTAGAGGACCATAGGAGATTTGGTGAGATCAGGATATCCGTTGATGCACAGCATAAATGAGAGGCGATGAAGAACACTACCGCTATTCAGGAAGAGAGTCTGGAGTTGATCCTTACTCTCTGTCACCTACAGACGAGGAATTTTTTTATTTGAGTTAAGTAGGTTACTAGTGATTCATAGACATGCCATTTTCATGAATAATCTTGTCTGTCTATAGAGAAGGAATGAGACCTGATATATTAGAACCGGTATGAACTTTCTGGAAATCATAAGTGTATACAATCCGCAGTTTTCATATGATGCGACAATAGAAAAGCAGATTTTTTTATTATTTTCATTTCTTTTTGCTAAATTATTCTGTTTTCCGAATGTAGTGTTATACAGCCCCCAAAGATAATATCTACTTTTGTTACATAATTTAGTGTCAACTTTCTCTTTTACAGGCAATGCTACTTATCAATAAAGTGCTAACTTTGTGGACAATATGCTGCATACTCTTATTTTCACAAATTTCACAGTCCAATGGGATTATAATCAACAATTGGTTGATTGTATTGATACCAATGTGCTTTGTGGATTTTATTCTACTCATCACAAATATACTGTTCATGTCTGGAAGGTAAGTGATCATCAAACTGATCACCAACTGATAATGAATAAATGTGCTTTTGGTGTTTCCGTTTCACTTGGGCTCACCGTATTTCCTTTTTGCACATTTTAGACCTCCTCAAATATTCGGTGATTATGATGCGGGGAGCAAACTCAATCGAACATTGATAGTGAGTTTTATGCTGTGGAAATTGGCTGGACAGACTGTTGTTTGCTTGTATTTGGAGGGATATGTAGATGGTTTATCTTACAATGGATTTCGACAGTTCCACCACGAGATCCACCTGCGAGACATCGCCTTGTTTTCTCAGTGTTTCCTTTATGGACTACCATGCTCATGTGTTTATTAGCCGTGTGTAGTCAAATTGTAAATAGCCGAAGTACAACAATTTGGGCGTTTTGTACAAATGAACAGTCAAGTGAATGTCATAAACTCCAAAATCAAGGGAAAACAAAAATTTCTCCGGAACACTGATGAATGCCTTTTGGTTCTGTCAAATTTTTCTCACTTATTATCAAGCATTCAATATAATATAATTCTTGGAATAATAGTGTTATTTTGTGTGACTTCCAGATTGGTTCTGCCTGCACAGCAGATAATTTGCATAGGTATGAATTTCTAAAGAAGCAGCTTCTAGAGTATTACAAAATATCAGAGATATACGTTCCTGACTTCTTGAAAAGTCTCAAGTATAATGCAATTAAAAATCCTGTGGACACTATTCTGCATCAAATCTAAAAATCTACAGATGATCTAGTATGCCGTATGAAGACACATTTGGGTGAGTCAGAATGGTTTAATCTAATGCCTAAAACCAATTATGCTAGTGGAATGTATGGCACTACTGAAATTCATAAAACAGGATATTCTATTAGCCTAATAGTTGGCTTTAGGCACACACCAACATAAGAGATATCTGAATATTCAGCTTCAGTATTACACCCAATCAGAGAAGGTCAAATTCTAGGCTAACTAATTCCCATATAATGAAACAGAAACTAGAGGAAATTCAATTAAAAAAAGATGGAAAAATGATTAGTTTTGACATAACCAGTCTATATACTAATATTCTCATTAATATAGCTCTGGGGGCTGTTAGGAATGAACTGAACATTATCCTGAACTCAGAAGTAGGACTAAGCTCTCGCTCGGTTGATGAAATAATATTAGGTGTTCAGTTATGCGTCTAACCTCCAATGTATTCAAATTTCAAAATAAACTACATGATTAAACGAATGAGGTAGTAATGGGATCATCAGTATCCACAGAAGCAGCAAATACATTTATGGATAGGTGGGAGCAAAAAGCTCTTAGAACGCTTAATCCTGCTCCTAGATTATGGTGAAGATATGTGGGTAACATATTCAGTGTGTCGAAATCTGAACATATCTCTCAGTTCTTCACACATATAAACTCAATATTAGACGGGATTCAATTCGCTTTTGAATTATGAAGTGAACAAGGTGAGTTTTCCATGCTAGACTGTAGAATAAAACGAAAACAGGATAGTCGGTTAGATACTAACATTTTTAGGAAGTTGACACACTCTAATATTTAGTTAGACTTTAATTCGTCCCATCCAGAATCGATAAAGATAGGCTTAGTTAAATGTCCATACAAATGGGTCAGGAGTCTTACTAGTAAGCCAGGAGATTTATATAATGAAATCAAACAAACAAAGAAAATACTACTGTTGAGTAACTATCCTCCAGAATGTATTCAGAAATATACAAGGACCCATGGGAAAAAATAAGATTAACAATAGAAATGACAAAATTAACAAAAATAATATGGAATTCAAAGCCTCAGTAGTACTGCTGTATAAAGAAGAAACGTCAGAGGCCTCAATTAGAATTCTCAATGAGGCCTTAAATGGTGTGGTATTGGAACCAATGAAGTCTCTAAGAGATAGATTCTGTCTACTTAAAGACTTTCATAGATCCAGTCAAGAAACATGATACAATTTACCAAATGCTTGTTAATGACTATGACGTCAATTACATAGGTTAAACTAGTAGTCCGGGGTCAATTAGATTATTGGAACAATAATTTAGTTAGGGCTAGAATGATTGATACTGCTAAGTTAAACAATCTAGAGAATGGCTCAGCCACTACATTGCGGTCAATTACGTGTAATCACATAATTCAGTGGAACAGAGTAAAAATATAAAAAGTAATATAGTGGTCAGGTGGAACGAAAGGTTGATCACTGAACTGTTGTTCATCAAATCAAATCTGGACACATACCATCGAAATGATGCGACGTCTATACAGGAGATTTTGAAAATTGCAATATAGAATAAGGGATAGACAGACAAAAAATATGTATGTAAAACATATTATGAAACCGCATGAATGCTGTTTAATATGGATATAAGAGATAAAATGCACTCGAAACATTGTTATCCCGTTATTATTACGGTATCACTGTTTGTATTATATTAAATACACTTATCTAATATGGAAATTATAGTCTACCACAGTCCCCGACCGACTCAACACCTCACATGTGAAATAAAAATGATTCAAGGCCTATACCAGAAGTATAGAGAGTGGCAAGGAGAAGAGTGAAAGAGCGAAATGCATATAAGACAAATTATGAACCCGTGTGACTAAAGTGATATGATTATGAGCAATAAATTATGCTAAAAATGTCAACCATTGCGTCACCGTGTGATGCGTAAAATAAACCTATCTAATATGGAATTACCTTCCACCCCAATCCCCAAGTCCTACGCTTACATTGATTATTTTATAAAACCGGCTCCCTTTATTAGTTTGAAGAACGAAAGAAAGAAAAAAGAAAAATACTAGCCGAAGACATTAGCTAGTGGTTGCTCTATATCGTGAATTGGAAGAAGTTGGAATTCATAGGCCGTTGGTTTGTGTTCTAGTGCATTAATAGTCTACGAGATCGCTTTGTAACCGGAAAGTCTTCATCTCGTACCCCTGAGGTTTGCATACTGTGGACAGTCTCAAACTAGGAGGAAACAGCTGTCCAGTACTCCTAGGTTTTCCAATGGTTCTCCAACCGAAGTTAGATCAAGATGAAAATCCTCTAACCAATCAAAACCCTGAAAACCAACACTTGAAACAATAGATTTGCAGGACAACAAGAGCTCGCTTCGTTTCGTGGATTCCCTTCAACTGCCTACACCCTAGTAAATAACAAATGGTATAAGTTTAAAAAAATTCTCATCATACTTTTCGCACAGTGACCTCAACTTATAGATAGAAAGTATAAGCAACATGATTCCAGAAATCATGTAGGTGTTAGAAGATTAACTATTCATAGTACGATTAGACAGGAGGAAAGGAGAGTTCAGATTCGACTTGGAAAGAAAGATTGACTCGAGGCAGAATACAAGATCGAACAACAGGGTGAATTTATACATAGAATGATGTAGAATTCAAGCGGTCGGGAGTGAACCTCAAAGTAACATTATGATATAGACAAATAATTAAGTGTATTCGGAGACTTAACTGTGAGATGAACTCAGTAAGTGAAAATCAGAATCGAAATTCAGTGAAATGTTGTGCAACAGACCGAAATTGAAAATCACATGAACAAAGCAATTTAGTTACCACGATATTGGGAGATTAGTCATGCTATCTTCCTGTACACAGAGATTGGGTCAAAATCTTTTGATAGCAATGATATATGCGTAAGGAAGTAACCATGGTTTTCTTTGCATATCGTTTATTTTGAAAGCCTGATTAATTTCCACTGTATGTTAATTAGATACCTGGCAAGCGCACTGGAGAACAATTTTGCTATCTTTCATATGGAGACTTTTAGGGCTATGCTCAGAAGGTTTAGGGAACACTCTCCCTTCAATCTTTCCTATGTACTTGCTGCCGCGGTAAAACAAATTTACAACAACTAACTGAGAGGCATATCATGACAATAACAGAATGTATTTCGTATGTTAATAATAATAATTATTATATATACGCATAATCTTGAAATTTTTAGCTTCATGTGTTATGCGACAGCCATCTTGTGTGAGTATTGAGACAAATCTGAACATCAGTTATCAAATAACTCCATAATGGATAAGATTTTATTTTAATAAATCACACAGTGTTATACAGTGATATTAAATGATGATGTTTCGAGCACAAACTATTGCTCATAATCATGTCAAGTTGAGCTTGAGCAATAGTTTGTGCTCGAAGCGTGTGGTCATCAGTTAATATTACTGTACAACACTGTGTGATTTATCAAAAAAAAAACTGTGTGATTTATCGAAATAAAATCTTATCCATAATGGAGTTATACTCTACCACAGTGCCCAAGTTTTACACTTATATCAATTATCAAATAGTTCGTTTATCCTATGAAGGGTAAATCTGTATGAAGGAGGATGTTGAACAACCTAAAGAGGTCACTGTGTATTCAGAATGTGGGGAAGGTGGTGGAAAAGATGCAGCATCCAGTCTTCATTTTTACAAAGTAAGTGAAGACTTACTGTGTAATATGTCAGCAACTTAAATCATAAATTTATACAGTGCGAAATTTTACCAATCTAGTAGGGATAAGTTTATTAACAATAATTAGTTAATGTCAGTTTTTCAAGTTGTTAATAGTTACACAAGGAAATTAATGCAGTAGTACAAGATATAAATGTTTACGAAAGTTAAATAAGTGGATTAAATAATACATAATTTTGGAAACAACATAACAGGAGCATCAAATTTTATTTCTAATGTAGACATTTTTTGATGAAGTTGTGTTAGGGTATGCATTTTTTTCTTCTTGAATACGGTTGGTAGTCTTTCAAGCACCCAGTTTCCTTGATTACTTTGATCAAAGCCAAAACGATAAAAAGGGCTGAGTTTTATCTGACGGCTTTTCTCCAGCTGCTAACAGCCCAGATATTGACATAAGTGTTAATAAATACATACTGAACATGATTGAAAATTCTATTCCTAACAATCATGTTATTTACCTTAAGAACAGATTTCGTTCACACAATAAATTTACGCACAGAATCACTGTATACTTCAGAAACTATTGGAAGACATTAGTATTTTACATGTAATCAACTTAATAATAATAATAATAATAATAGTAATAATAATAATAATAATAATAGGATATAGTCGGTCAAGAATCTTTTTAATACTTCTACTAGACATATTTCTACAAGAACTGCATTATACTGGTGATACATGAAGTAACTAATAACAGTGAATTAGAATTAACGGAAGATTATATGCCACATAGCTTTTCTGAAGTGGTACCAAATGCTTTATCCGGTGGTATTGTATCGTTTCAAGAAACAGGCGAAATACACCAGCATAATTTCATGAGAATTCGCAACTACACGGTAAACTTTTGAACTT